AATCTTTCCCTTGAAATAGCGCCGCCCCCAACCCTGAGCCGCTAGCGTCCGTGAATAGCCAAAGTGGGTCGTCTGATTCGTAGTCTACATTCTTGAGACAAGGAAGAGATGACATTATCCTCTTAATGTTCTCGAATGCGTCATCTTCTGCCGTTCCCCATCAAAAGTCCTTGGCTTGCAATTTACTGCTGGTCAACGGTGTTAGAGTCCCAACATACTTTTCTAATCCCCACACAAACTTCTTCATCCACTGTACCGTCCCAAGAAACTTTTTCACGCCTTTTGCCGATGATGGTGCTTTCCAATCCAGAACTTGAGCTATTTTTTCGTTATCTGCGCGTATACCCTCCGCTGAAATCCAATGACCTAAAAATTTGATTCTATCTCGGAACAGTTGGGTTTTCTTTGGACTGCAATAAAGGTTGGCTGATCGTAGTCGTTCTAGGACGCGCCGTACATGCTTTTCATGTTCTGGATACGATCCCGAGAAAATGACAATGTCGTCCAGGTAGACTACACAAATGTCGTTAATGAGTTCCCCGAGTGCCTCTTCCAAGCGTGCTTGATGAGTTGCTGGTGCATTGGTTAATCCCATGGGCATAACCACCCATTCCATCAGTCCCCAAGGAGTCTTGACGGCAGTGAGTGGTATATCCGCCTCCCGCATCCGTGTCTGGAAGAATGCATTGGTTTGGTCCAGTATTGAAAAAACTTTCCCAGTAGCCACCATACGAACTAGCTCATCGACATTTGGTAGCGGGGAGCGATCTTTCACTGTGAGACTATTAAGCGTGCGGTAATCACATACCCATCTGGGTAGTGCGTCCGGGTCCTTTTTTGGTATTATCATACTGGGTGAGGCATACTGACTTGACGATCGCCGAATCCTGCCTGCTTCAATGTGTTGATCCAGTAGTTTGCGCCATGCTGTCATGTATTTCTGTGGGTAAGCGTATTGCCGTTCTTTGATCTGAGCGTCTGGATTGGTTAAGATAATCTTATGTCTAACTTTTGAGCCTTCTGCTTGCATCTTCTTTGGAAAAGACCCGTCTTTGAATGAGCCTTCCAGTTCCGCTTCATCTGAAATCGCCGGTATGTCTGGCGGGAAGAGGTCTGAGAATTCCCCCAGGACAGTGGCCTCTGATTGTTTGCACGGATAGTTTGTGGTACTCTTGGGTGGTGAACAGGGGACAGTCTTCGTTGTCATTGCATCTACAGCTCTGTAATCTACTACACAACGGCCTGATTTAACACAAACTATACTATGTTGAGAAATGGAGACAGAGAGATTGAAAAGGGATAGAAAGGGGATTCCTAATATCATATTGTAATTTCCTGCGATGGGTCCCAAGCTTAGCTCGACATTGTCAAAACGTAGTTGTGACTGAGTATCCGTGAATTTTGCCCGCGTAAATTGCTTAAGGATTAATGGAGCCTGCGACGCATCGTTAAGCGCTAGGCTGACTCGGGTAGGTACCGGCAGATCCAGTATGGTTAAACCTGCATTATGTACCGCTTGCTCATTGATCAAGTTGATCTCGGCCCCTGTGTCAACCAAACCATGTAAGTAATGATCTCCGACCTTAAGACGGATGACGAGTCGCCTAGGAACAACGGGAGGCACATACTCATCCTCTGCCGTCAATCGAAGTTCCTCGTCGATTGCGGCGAAAGCCGAGACCGAGGCTGCATCCAGATCGGGGTACACGTTGGGGTCGCCAATCTCAGCCACTGAAACCGATCTGTTGGGAGGTCGGCCCGCCGGTGGTTGGGTCGGTTTCCCCGCTAGAGTTGACGACTGACCCCTCGGTCTGGGTGGTTTGTAGTCACTCGGTTTTGGGGGGACGACGAATGTTGGAGGGATTTCGATCGGTGACTTGTCTATCGGACCGGCACATTTCCCTGGGGCGCTGCCACACTGCTTCTTGCAGAAGTGGCATTTGCCCTGGGAGTCTAGAAACGAGTGGATGCGCCAAATGAACTCTTCTTTAGGCAGTCGACCCGATTGCGATCCGGAGGTCGATGATTTTGTAGAGGGTTGGATCCTCGGTCTTGCCGTTGCCGCGGAACGTTTAACGATGCCGTCCCAGAACCCGCTAGCCCTGTTCTCGAACGTGCTGAACTTGAAAGGTTCTTGCAGGAGTATCTGGTGATTATGAATCTCCGCCTGCAATTCACCGCTGGTCCTGAGTGCCATCGACTCGGCCAGCGCAAAGTCTGATATCGCCTCCGTCTTGAGGTCGAAATTTAACATGCTCTGAAGCGTGCGTGAGCGTGTACTATACGAAAGAAATGACTCCGAGTTAGTCATCCGAAGGTCTTTGAACTTGCCTCGCAGGGTTGTACGCCAATTGGGCGGGAGCGCAAAGGCGATGAGCCCTGTCCTGAATTCCGACCAGGGCTTGCCCAAGAACGACTCGAACCCGCTGGCATAGAACGCCGTCGTGTTGGTTTCTCTGATGAGGCCGCCGATGATTTGGATCTTATCGTCGTCGTGAGTGACGCCCTTTGTGGCGAAGAAGATTTGAACGCTCCGGATCCAGGTAATGAAACGCTCGACGTTTTGGAACGGTCCCGAAAAAATTGGACCATCTGACGACCGAAATCGTTGGAGGTCAATGCGCCCGGTCTCTACCCGAGTAGTAGAGGTCTCCGGATCCTTCTTGATTGTCATCTGGAGGACTACTTCCTCTAGTTTCGCGATGCGATCCGCGTCGGCTTGGCGGAGCTCCCGTCGAATTCA